ATAGAAGATAGATGATAGAAGATGGATAGAAGATGGATGGATGGATGAATGGATGGATGGATGGATGGATGGATGGATGGATGGATGGATGGATTACTTCCATTTAGTCTTCCCATGATAATTTTTTATATCTTGTTTCTGTTATTCATTGATCTGTGCAGCCGTTGAATCTGAATGTTTTGTGAAAGGTGTGAATCAGGTCTGATCGGTCGTCTCCTTCATGATCAACTCATAAACTCACCGTCTCTTCTACTACAGGAGACGTGTTGACACACTGCACATCTCTCACTCCCTGTTCTCCTCTCACCAAGATCCCTCACAACCAGTGATGCTGTTATCAAACACAAGATATGAATAACAGCATCATTCAGTGAGTCTTTCACAAACAGCAGTCTGAGGCCGTCTCTCTGTGTTGTAAGTGTGTAACACACAAATGTTCCTCCCTCTCTCTCTCTTCCAGCTTCCACAGCCTCAAGACTTTCTCTTCCTGGAGATTAGGATTAGAGCCAAACTAAGTCTGATTGAACACCGCAGAACAGAACAGCTCTTTCTGCACGCGTGTGCGTCTGTGTGTCTCTGTACACGACTGCTTTGCACCACGCGTGTGTGTGTGTGTAAAATGCATAATAGTGGCAACGTGCACGTGAGAAGACGAAGTCCCCGACGATCAAGCATCTTTGTGAGATTATGTGAGCTTGAGCGTGTCTAAATCAGTCCGCCTGCACGAGCGGGGAAGGTGCATGTTTGAAGATTCTGCACGTGTGTGCACGCAGAGCACAGCTTGTTCACAGTATGTGTGATAACATGTTTGTATGGAGGAGATGCTACATTTGGATTTGTGTGTGTCATGTTTCAGGAGTTTGTGCGTAAATCAGTCGTAGTGTGTGAGCAGGAGAGAGAGAGTGTGTAGAGGGACATTATGTCCGTGCTCACATGTGTGTATGTAAATAGTTAGTAAGAATAAGAGGAGGTATCTGTGTTAATACTGTATTAGGTGTGTGTGTGTGTGTGTGTCAGTGAAAAAGCTGCAGGTCTTTGACAAAAGGCAAAAGATTAGGAGGGAGCAGTGAGGATTTAAGAGTTCCCATTCTGATTTAAATTTTCTCATCTCGTCACCACTAGAAAAAGACAAATGTTCCCATTGCCCTGAAATTCTGCTCATTACAGATAATCCAGTTCCGGAGGAGGAGATGATTCAAACATCTGTTTCTCATCAATAACCACAAGCAGCCATTTCTAAATCCTACAAATTGTTGTATTTCTATATGAACACATTATGTTAAATAATAAATAAATATTTCCACAGCTGTGAGTGTTTCTCCTTCACCTCAGTCGAGAGCGTGCAGGACGTAGAGAGTCCTCACGACTGGAAACTTTGACGCTCGTCACCGCTCTGGTTTGAACTGGTCATCAAGAGCACACTCAGTGGTGAAGACAGATAAGAGAAAGAGGCTTCTCATTTTTAAACAGCACTCGCCGATTTCGTCGGCTGAAATAAAACCTGTAAAACGCTTCTACTTTTAAAATGAGTCCGTTGGAAATAAAAAAAGGAAGATAAAGGGAAATGAAGAGCAGTATTTACACCATGAGGACGGACTCCATCGTCTTGACTGACAAATTTAATTATATACATCACACCTGCTCTTGTTCCCTTTCTCTCTTGTTCATATTTTTCTCCCTCACTCGTCCATCATGGTGCCAACTTTGTCATCAACAGCACAAGGCGTCACTATGGCAACAATAACCATGCACTTTGCATTAAAGCGTCATTTCAAACAAGATAAGGTGAAAATAACAGGCTGACACCGAAGGTTGTCACCGCCTGTGTGTGTCCTGACAGACTTCTGTCCCCAGTAGACAAGTAGAACACGTCCCCTGACATATTCAGCATCTCGGCAGAACAAAAGAAATCAGGTCGCCTCCCCACAACAGCTCTTTTGACCGCGACCTTTATAACTGCGAGTTTTACAGTGTTGGTTTGAATGCTTGTGGAAATTATCAGCACGTCAGCAGTGTTTGTACGATTATTACGATTACTCAGTGACTGTGTGTGTGTGTGTGTGTGTGTGTGTGTGTGTGTGTGTGTGTGTGTGTGTTTGTGGCTATTGTAAACATGTTTACTTACACACAATAGGTGCAACATCACCAGGGACGGATGAGTTTTCACAAGATTACAAAATGGACTGAGACGCTCCTTTCTCTCTCTCTCTCTCTCTCTCTTCCTTCCTATTTCCACCAGAAGCTCTCTCTATCTCTTTCTTTACCTCCTCTCGTTCTATCCGTGTCTCTCAACATCACACTCTCTTACTATTTTCATCATTTCAAAAGTAATTTTCTTGTATTCGCCTCTTTTTCCCCATTTTCTCTCTGCCCTCCTGTTTTCACAATTCAAGCTCCCGTGAATCGAGGTTCACAAAACCCTATTACTATTATTATCTTTCCGTCTCTCTGACTAACATCTCCTTGTCTCTCGCACTTTCTCTTCCCTGAATGTAAATGATCATCCCGCTGTAACACCGGGAGATGAAAATAGAAGAGCAAAGCACGTGGAAGCGTGTATCTCATGATGTCGTGTCATTTCAGAGGCAGGAGAAAAACACGGGAATGTTAATATAATACTCACAGTAAACATGAGCTGGCATCCTCCCAGTATGTAATCCAGAAAGGTGTAGTCTCTTGTAATCTGGAAGACACAAGAGTCAAAGTAAGAAAACAAGGAAAACAACAATAGCCAGAGAAGCTGAATAAAGGTAAATAAAACATCATGGACTCAGGAATGAAAAACCTCACTGCATCATACTGCTGCTTTCTTTTACTATTATTCTGATTGATTATTCTGTTTGTCACTTAAAAGCTTTTTCACAAACTGATTCCAACAGCACAGACAACAACCCACGGAAACTTAACACAATAGAATAAAAGATTTTCGTTTGTTTTAAACTGACGGACCAGGTTTTTCGGATACAAGGAACCACGGATGAAGCTCCACTTATTATCTTGTTTGAACACAATCTCCACTCCAATTACAATGAATATTTAGCACGGATTTTACCGTCATTAGTCTAATCCCTGCCGGCAGCCAACAAATATAATTACTGCATTAGCAGTTTTGTGCATGTGCTGTATGTTAGTGTGTGTGTGTGTGTGTGTACGTCTGTACAATGGTTTCATGGTTCGTGGTTTTGCATCATGAAAAAATAAGGATGGAGGAAAAGAATCAATTATGAAAGCTTGTCATCACACACACACACACGCAGCTTTAATGTCGTTCCAACAGGCATCTAAAGACTCAGGATTCCAGCTCCGTGTGTCGTCTGTGGGGCTCAGAGCTGCCGCGCTAATTAGTGATTCAGAAGAAGTTATGAACGCTCAGTTAGAAGTGTGTCAGCTGATCGAACCCAAACCGGCATCATCAAAAGTTTCATTGTGCGTGAGTGTGAGATGGATTATAGTGAAGAGAAGCTGAAGGAATTATCTGACTTTAGTGGGTTAGTTTGTGTTTGTGCAGCTTTAAATCTCCTTTAGCTTGTTTTCTGTTTTGAAGCCTGGAGTTTCGGTATTTTCCTTCAGCGCCATCTTCGAAGTAACCGTATTTGAAAGGGTGGAGCCTGACTGCACACCCTCCCACACCTGCAACCATTGTACGGTATAAGCTGTCAATCACACGCTAGCCACACCCCAATGCCTGAGCTGCTTCGTCGTATATTTGACTCTGTATTGAAGAAGATGAGACCAAAAACTCCTCTTGAGCACTTGATGACTTTTAAATCAGTTTTTTAAAGCATTTTCCCCCCAAAAAATCTTATTATAGAGGAGTCACTCAAGCAAAGCAAATAAAATCAGGAAATGTTCCAGTGCGACACAGATGTGAATGGCTCCATCCGTCCGTCTTTCCTCACCTTACACGACTTGACAATGATGATTCCAGAGTTCTTATAATTCTTCTTCTTCTTCTGTTTCTTGGCGTTGATGCAGTCAAACTCCACCTGCAGGGACAGATCGACAGTGGGAGGGAAGAGAGAGATGAGGAGTGTTAAACGGAGGGAGGGAGAGAGGGGAAAGGAAGAGATGACGGCAGAGCTGGAAAGAGGAGCTGGGAGGACATGAAGAGTCGACGGAGAGACTCTGATCTGCCTGTCGTCCTCACGCCGCCCACAGTAACTTAGATGGTCAAACTATTGTTTATGAAAAACACTGAATTAATTCCATGTGATGAGGATGAAAGACAAATCTATGAAGCTGTTTGTCCAACAAATACACAATTTTATAACATTGTGTTTCATCAATACAGATATTTGACACACACACACACACACACACACAGACAGACTCACATGCCTTAAGTCAGTCCCTGAGTCATATGACAGGTAGCTCTAAATGCCTCGCGGTGTTCCCGGCGCTCAGCTAAAGGCTGTTTTACATCTCAAAAGCACCTCTCATTTTCCCTCATCCCTCTTTTTCACACTGTCTCTTGCCCCATCTCTCCATCCTGCATCTGAATTTTTATTTTCCGCTTGTTATTTTTGTGTCACCCCTCACATCATTACCACACACATGCCTTCGCACACGCACACATGCAGTTTCACGAACGAACACGCGCGCAGATGCACATGTCAGGGAACACACACACACACACACACACACACGCGCGGACCAGCTAATGAATAAACTGGGTTCTGATCCGTGCATCTTTATATTTTTAGCAGAAAAGAATGAATCTCATCAGTGTTCAGTCGCTGGCAGCACAGGCCTCAGCCTCAGTCGGTCAGCGGAGGACACAATGTGTGAAAAACTGCAAATCTGTGCATTGTTATTCCATCTTCATTGTGTGTGAATGTTTTTAAACTGTAAATTAGCCAGTGGTCAATTCAGTAAATCTAAAACAGACAGAACAAAGCTGATGTCAGAGCTCGGCTCTGTTATTTTCTCTGTGATTTTGTGCAACATCAGATTCCTGTTGTTTTGGATCTTTAAAACAAATTTGAGACATTTCAAATCACGCGGTCACAGTCTGCTGCAAAGGGATTCAGCAGCTTTGGAGTAAATTATCAGCACAGTGGGACGGAAATGTTCATCATACACCAGAGGAAAAAAACAACTTTGATGGTCATAGATCATCAACACAAGTGGGGACCACTGGGGCCTGATGGTGGATTACGTCTCGGGGTTCAATGGGATTTGTCAGGAGGGGACACTCTGAAGTGTTTTAGGAATTCTCAAATTCAGCGATTTAATTTCTTCGACATCTCAGCTTTGCCTGAACTGAATGTTAACATGTTAACGTGCTGACGCTAGAGACATTCACGTACATCGGTCACGTGTGTCGCTGTAAACGGGAAGCAGAGTCTACACTGCAGTCGGTTGCTTGATTAGAAGGAGGAACAACAGTGAGAGCAGGGATTTATTTTATCGGACCGTAACAATATGAATTAACGCGAAACGTGTTTTACCTCCACTGAGTTCACGGCTTCAGCCATCTTGGAAACCGTAGTTTGAAACTCTCCGATGAAGTCATGGCCTCCATCATTGTCGTAGTCATAACACAGAACCTGTTGTTGAGTAGAACACATCACATCACATCATTATCTTTTCTTATCGTATTTGTTTTCGATGATTTGGCCAACGTGTACGTCTTTCCTTTTTGGTTTTTGGTTAAATCATTTAACTTGATTAAATGATTTAAAACTAAACAGTGTCTGTCCTTCTCTCCTCTTGTCAATGTGCTACTTCTGATAAAAGAAGACAATCAACCAGTGTTGTCATCACTAACCTTGATGTTTCTATCCACATCTCCATTGCAGAGAGAGATGAGCGGCACAGTGAACGATTTCCACGACGGGTCTAAAGTGTTCTTTATGACCTGAAGTCACAGACACAGAAACAGGTAAGTTATCATTAGATTACTCTGCAGCATATAGACTTTATGATGCAGCTGCAGCCGCAGTCGGATTACCTCAGCATCAGCAATCACACACTTACTGTTGCAGTGTGTGACCTTGTGTGAGACGAGGTTTAACAATCACAGCTCATGACACATGAAGTTGCGCCAACCGTGACTCACCTCCGTCCTGTGCACCAGCATCCATTTACCATCTTCCCCTTGTTTGTGAAACTCCAAGTAAGGGTCCGACTTCCCGAAGAAGTCCTGAATGAAACGCAGACAGATTGTTGTGAAGTCGTTTTGTCCTCATTCATCCTGACCAGAAGTGAGAAGTGGAAGGGGTCGGCCGAGGCAAACTTCCTACCTTCTTATCCAGTTTACGCCCACTCAGGGTCAGAGTGATGATTCTGTTGTCAGACAGCTCCTGAGCTGTTATCTGAAGAAGGAGTCACAGCAGAAATACTGTTTACTCTCACATCAACATCTGCAGCAACAACAACAACAGTCACAGCAGCAGCCTCGACAACATCATTACTCCACGATGCCACAATAAGAAACGACAGTGACAACATCCACGTGGTTAAAAAACGGCTCCGTGTGATGATGCGGTACAGGATGTGTTACATCTGTCACCAGGACAAACAGAAAGAAGAGCAGAACTGGTGCTTACTGTAATGGATCCTTTGCCAGCTGGCTTCCCATTGGCTAGGATCAATGGTCTGTGGAGCTTTTTATTGGACACAATCTGGAGAGAACCAAAGAGAATAAAGCAAAAAGAAAATGTGGGTTTGAACGACGGAAAGTCTTGGTTTCAAGGAATTGTTCTTAAAAATCTAGTTTGAATCCAATTCCCTGAATCGAGTATCTCTTAGAAACGTTGACTCAGTCGTCGTATTTAAAACAGAAACAACTTTGGACTGAAAAGGAGGAATCGGGTCGTACCACCCCGAGTGTGCAAATGAACTCTCCGAGGAAGTCGTGTTCGTAGAGCTGAGAGGCGCACTTGTCTTCATCGAACATGGCAAAGCGAAGCTTCTGGATCTCCTCAAAGTGGTAGTCCACCTGGAACTTTACTCCGAAGACTGGATTCAAGTTGTTCACAGCTGTTTCAGTGCGGCCGAGCTAAACGACAGAACACAAGCAGAGAGAGAGAGAGAGAGAGAGAGAGAGAGA